ATGGATGGATGGATGGATGGATGGATGGATGGATGGATGGATGGATGGATGGATGGATGGATGGATGGATAGACACTTGCAACCCAAGTAAGAGAAAGGGTGTTTCTCACCTGAAATTTGGAGGCTGGATGTGAAGTGGCATTCCTCTAGGCTGGAGCCTCTACTGGAACCTGCAGAAACCCAAAGGACACCAGGTTTGAGAAATTAACAATCCATACAAATGCTCTGTCTTAACATGTTCAGGCTTAGGTTATTGTTGATTTTAAGCAGCCTGGAGGGCTAAGGAATTAATTTTATTTTTAATATAAATGGTTATAGAACGTATAGACTTGGACCTCCAGTATCATGTAGCTGTTTGTGGGCTGGTTTGCCAGATTTATTTTAAAAAGTATTAAAAATGTTTTAAAATTGAATGGAATTGTTTATTTTGGAAGAAATTAAATTATTGTTTTGAATGTCACTTCTTTCTATTATATGATGAACCGGCTTGCCATAATTTGCAAAGTAATTTTAAATCCTGTATATTCTGTAGCCACCATTTGATTTTACATTCGGTAACGCATATTTATAATTAGTGTCTAATAATACACTGTTCTAAATGTACGAATAAATATTCCACTGTTTAAGTGCTGATATTTATTAACCTTTAGGTGGCGCGGTGTGAGTTWGCAGCAGTTCCTCCATCCCCACAGACATCACTTTTCATCCAAGATGGCGTCGATCGGGGCGGCTTCAGCTCCAGCATCACTGGGCGGGACCGCGGCGGCGCAAGCTGCCAGCAGTTGGGCACTTCCGGCGGGGTCGGGTTTCGCTCAACTCGGCATTTAAATTGAGCTGCAGGGCATCAGCTGCTGCCACATTCGGCACCGTGCCGTGACAGAAAACAATAGTGCCMGCTTCTTAACAGCCACCTCTTATTTTTAACCGGAAACCCGTCGGAGAAAATTAATTACCGACTTTAAAGCGGAGAAGAAGAGCGGAGAGGCTGAGCTGCACCGACTGTGACAGCAGCTCGGTGCATCCTTTCTGGGGACGCTGCTAGCTCTCCTGGTAATGTGATGTTGTACCTGACTGGAATGATTTAGGCTTTTCTTAAACAGAGCTGGTTTATTGTTATACATAAACAAGTTAAAACTAATTTAAATAGTATTCTTACTGTGGTGTTTTATTAGGAGGACCAACACACTTTGAAAGAGTAGGGTTGATTAGCTAGGTCTAAATTTGGGATTAATAGACAAAACTGGTTGTAGTCAATAATATCAAAATGAGTTTCCAGCTTTATTTTAAGTAATATTATACAATAATAAGAAAAACAACAATTTCAGTGCAGAAAGCTGAAGACATTACATGTGCTTGAGAAATTGAAAAGCAGATAATTTATCAAGATTTCAAAACTAGGTCATTTAGGTGGTAAAAAAACAGAATTCAATCATAGTTAATTACAGTACAATAAGTAAACAGCAATGTTCAGCTGGCTTGGAACGGATGACAGGAGGAAGAAGGAGCCAGAAGTCTTCCAGACGGTYAGTGATGGACTGAAAAAACTCTACAAAACAAAACTCCTGCCTCTGGAGGAGACCTACAAGTTCCATGAGTTCCACTCTCCAGCCCTGGAGGATGCCGACTTTGACAACAAGCCTATGGTCCTGCTGGTGGGACAATACTCAACCGGCAAGACGAGCTTCATTCGGTGAGAAAACTACACCCTATGTGCTCTTTTTTAAAATTAATTTATTTTTTTTGTACTGAAAATGAGAATTGCACACACTAAGACACGAGAGGCAGTCAGAAAGATAAAAAAAGGGGGAGAGGCAGACACACCCAAGCTGTGTACTAGTGTGTATGTAAAACACAAGGAACATTATGAAAATATTAAGGGACCACACCTCGGCAAGCTTTATAAGCTCCATAAAATGTTTACTTATCACGCACTCCCAGATTTGCTGTGTGTGTGTTTACTGTCAAGAGAATGGACACTTGTTAAGTAAGAAATCAAAAGTTTGGTTTTGAATTGGGAAGAAATGCATTTTAATGGACAGCTGATTGAAAGATGAATAAAAGTTCATTAACAACTTGATTATGATGTGAAAACCCTAAAGCAGAGGTGCCCAAAGTTGGGGCCCACGGGCCAAAATTGGCCCGCCAAGCCATTTGGTTTGGCCCATAAGCAGTTGTCCTGGTTACTAGATTGTAATTATGTTAAGATTAAATATAAAATACAAGTAACTACAAGAGACATTTAGATTAGATTCAAGCCCATATATAGATTTGCACACCTTATAAAACCACATATACTCAAATTTTAAATCATGAAAAGGCCCATGAGCCTTTGCTGCCGGAGCATACGTTGAATTTTCTCCATTACATGTCCATGGGCTGAAAAAAAAAACTAAAGAATGTGGGCAACCACACTGGCTGCTAGCTTAATCATAAAAAAATAAAACAACTTTACTTAAGTATTTGCATTTCTTATGTTACTGCATTGGGCCCTCAGATTGGTTTTAATTTTGGCCCTCTCAGGGAAAATGTTTGGGCACCCTTGCTCTAAAGCGTGGGAAGTCTCTGCCATGTTTTTGTACTTTGGCATGGTCTCATTTGTGTAAAAATACCCAAATTCTCTAAATATTTAGTTTTTTTTTTCCATTGTCCTTGAGGGTTTTCTGTCTAACAATTCCTACCAGTATTCTAGATAAACACTTTGATAATGAATTTGTGTGTGTTTAAAATAAACATTTCTCAGTCTATTTCACAGATATTGAGTTAAATGTGGTGTGGAAGTAGTTGAGCATGATTAAGAGGGTGGGGTATTATGCAAAATCGACATTTTTAAGCTTTATATCATGTTATGTCATTCCCTCATTAAAAAAAAAAAAACATTCCCAGAGTGTTGCTTTGACTCATTCCTGCATGTTTGAGAAGTCCTTGAATTTCCTGTGGTAGCCATGTGGAGCTGCCTAAACGCTTGCTGGTACAAAGCACCGCCTATTTACACAAAGCTCCTCCCAGCYGAGCTCTCGCCCCACAGAGYGCTCCTCCGTGAGGCTGAAGTGGGAGTGTGGGAAACGGAAGGAGGTTATTAAAGAGACAGAGGCTAATTTCAAGGCATTTAGATAGATTATGATGCAAAGTCAAATTTATTTATCATATATTCAGCATTTTCATATCAGCTGAAGATAACACACTGTAGTTGYGGTATGGGATTGACTTATGTGTGTGGAAAATATAATACCTCCCTTTTTAACAACTTGTACTCGCACTAAGTGATTATGCAAGGTGTGCATTTAAACACTGGGGAAAAAAGCTGGAATCAACTCTGTTAGTAAAATATTGCATGAATCACAGAACGGAATGAAACCTTCAGATCACTGGGTCGATGTCTACAACACATTCACTTTGGATTTAATCCAATTCAAGATGGCCACCACAGCCAAACTCCCCTTAGAAAATCATAAAAAAGCTACAATCTTTCTTTCTTTCTTTCTTTCTTTCTTTCTTTCTTTCTTTCTTTCTTTCTTTCTTTCTTTCTTTCTTTCTTTCTTTCTTTCTTTCTTGACAAAGATTTCTGTTTTCATTATATCAAATATAGGTGTGTTTTTGTAGCGTGAGAATATATTTGAAGTTTTCTGAAGAAGTGCAACAATTACACTGTCACATACACAAACAAAGTACAGGTTTGTATTACCATCACTGTGTTTACGATGAAGTTTTTCCATCTTATTTAACTTCAGGCTGAAACTCGCGCTCTGTGTTTGTGTCCTGTCAAAGCACATGACCTGGAATATCCCCAGTGTGTGTGATGGTGAGAAATGTTTGCATCAGGGTGTTGAGCCTCTTCTGAGGTGAAGAGCTGCTGCTGATGCTGTCATCTTGGACCTCTGACACACACAMACAMACACACACACATACACTCACTCACTCACTTACACAAACACACTCGTATAGAGAGAGAGAGAGCTCATGGGTAATGAGTGGGTTAAGCCTTTAGAGCCAGATAGAAGATGCTGTTAGTGACTTCCTGCTTACAGAACATGTAGACATCATTGCTCTCTCCTTCTCCTTTTTCAGGGTTAGATTTTCACTTATTCTCTCCTCCTTTTTGTCCCTCCCTCTCTCTCTCTCCCTCCCATTTGAAAAGCTGACCTCACAACATTTTATCAGCAAGACGCCAGAATGTACAAACTGCTTAGTCACACTTGATCCCAGCCCCAGCTCTTGCAACATTTTTTTTTAATTTCATGGCTTAGGTTCCCCCTTCTTTGTAT